GCTGTACTCGTTCCGCTGGCAGCCTTAGTCCCGGCTGTCGCAGCGGGAGATTTTGTCGAAGCTTTCGCCGGAGAGCCAACTTTGCCAGGAGACTGCTTGTGCTGATCCGTACCCATAACTATGATTGTACTAATCAAGAAAGGGATGACGCGGTCTTACCCTGGGCCTGTCGATATCTACTTGGCATAAGAGCCGCGCCAACATTAAGCTGTGGAACGTAATGTTTTAACATAAAAGTAAAATGTCTAATCTAATATTGGATAATACAACAGAGCTCTTTGTACTAACGCTTTCCCCGCCGGAGGTCCTGCTTGCAACTCTTAAAAGTCCTATGAAGACCAAAACACGCATGCATAGAGCCAACAAAGGTCTCGCACTGGAAACTCTGGACTAACGTATCGCCAAGCAACGGAACCAGGATTTGTGCGTTGCAGTACGTCATCACGTCCTGGAAAAGGTGCGAGGGTCACTGTCGATGATGTGGGGTACTGCTGGCATATCCTGCTTGGTGCATGCCCTGCACTGTCCTTCAATAACAGCACCCCACCGGAGGTAGCCATGGTGCGGACTCAAGCAGCAGCTGGAGGGCAGGCGGCAGGTTGCGGAGCCGGCGGGGGCAACCTAACGCTGTCCGCCTGCTCCAACTGCGACGTAAATCCGCCTACCGCCAGCTAGGGTGCTATAACCAAAGGACAGTGCAGGGCATGCACCAAGCAGGACACACCAGCAGTACCCCACATCATCGACAGTGACCTTCACACCTTTCACAGGATCGGGTGACCCTGGGGCTTGGCCTGCCGCAGGACCTGCAGCTTGCCGTCCCCCTCGCCCTGCGACAGACCCTGCAGCGAATGGCCCGGACGCGTCTGCGTCTGCGCCTGCCGTGTATTGTGCAGTCCGAATTGTGCTGGGAAGGCTCTGCGAATCGTGCTGCCAATTCCCCTCCTACCAAAGGCTCTGCGAGTGGCCTCGCTGCTAATTTAAATGGCCATTCGGGTGTTTCCGATCGCCTGGGTCCGCCAAGGTTGGTTGGTTGGTTGGTTGGTTGTCCGGAAGGCGCACCAAATCGCTAGCAGCTGTCACGCTGTCACCATGGACTCTGCGACGCATGGCTTGCCGGTATCTCAGGGCCCCAACCGATAGCTGGGTTCTCTAATCCTAAATGACAGAGTCTTTTCTAATCTTAAATGATAGAGTCATATCAACTGCTAGATTAGCTTGCTTTTTTCCACTTTGCTTTTTCCTCAGGTGCCAACCGCTTTCATCAGCACTCATCAGCCAATCACCCAGGGGCAGTTTCCCCCCTGTTGCGTGCACCCCACCCTTCCCCTCTTCGGTCCCCGGCGGATGTACGCATGTTTGTATGTATGTACGCACGTATCTGGGCAACGATAAGCGAAGCACAAAATAACGACGCGAGGGCCATGGACGCGAGCGCGATGTGTATGCACCGTATGTGTAACCCCGTCTCCAGAGGCTAGAAACCAATACGGCGCGGATCGCATCATCAGACGCCGTCCGGAAGAATAGTTAAAGTACCCGCAGCTGCAGCATGTCGAGCTCGTTACTTTTGAAGTCACGTAGTCTTCGACACCAGTCGGGGAGCACAGAAAGCGCCAATGGAGGCGAAAAGGGCTTTCTTCACGTGCCGCAAAAACATCATTAGGAAACCAACCAAGCCAACTACCCTCCCTCCAAGAACACACCGCTGAAATCCCTCTCACCAGCACAGGCCTGTCTTCGCCGAGGGACAGTTTAAACACAGCCGTTGCACACAACCATCACCGCCAACAACCTCTGCAAGGTACCCCCGCCTCCGCAAGGATGGGCTGACGGTCGCCGTACCTGAAAAAGCATCCAGAAGAGCCATCAAGCCATCAGCTGCTTTTGGAATCATCTGGATATATCTAGATCTGTTGGCCAGGGTTTGGCTGCGCTTCCAAACACTACCTGTGTTGAGGGTACCGGGCATGAAAGCCTCCCCGCCGTCACATGTAATGCTTTACACAGGCACACAGGTCTCCGCGTAGCCCCATCACCAGCACTCACCCGCATAGCCAGCAGCAGTCAGCGTCATTCTTTTCCCTTATCCGCGTCCACAGCCTTGGCCAGGGCCAACAGGGGTCTGCTGATATGCTCCCCACGCCTCCCGAACGACAGTACGGTAATGTTTGTCAAGGGTTCCGTGAGACCGTACAGTACTGCAGAAAGCCCTTGCACAAGATTTCGCAGGGCGTGATGCGTTTCCATGGTGCAAGGAGCGTTTCTGTGAACGTGGAGGACGTGGGAAAAAATATATAATATACGTGTCCTTGTAAGCGTGAGTGTGAGTACCAGATATGGTGAGATGATGGGCTTTCGTATTGAGATCTATTGGTCGGCGAAGCAACCTGTGGAGTTGCTGGGCCTTCGCTGCAGGGGCCAGTCACGGCTCACGGGTGGTGCTTGGACGAACAACATTAAAGCTGTGGAGCTAGCGAGTCGTACAGCGGACCTTAGCGAGTCGTACAGCGGTTTTTCGCAGGATACGTCGAGGAGGATTTACGAGGAGTAAGGAGGTTCATGAGATCTGACCCTAACCACGTGGCCTAACCACGTGATGATAAGCCCTGGGCTGGCGTCTTGACGAATATTGGCCATGTAAGGTCGTTAGTACAAAAGTAGAACTTGTACCGGCTCTCCTTTCCTACCAACAGAGATGAACACCACGTTCCTGGAAATAAAGGTGAACGTGGCCAGCAGAATACATACATACAGATCAGGCAGGCGGCTGGCAGAGGCTAAGGCCTGACTTCTGCTCCCGGCCGACCCGGGTTCAAATTCCGCCAGCCGGCTCCCCGGGTGTTTGAGGAGTGTTGAAATGGGAGGTGGCCCCCCATCATATGGACGATGTAGGACGTGATAATATGAACTTGCGAGATGACCAGGAACTAAGTTAGTGCGCCGTTGATTCGCTAGATTTGGTTGGATGCTGGTGGTGAGTTGCCGAACCCAACGAATACATTCTGAAGTCGGATGGGGTGACGGATTAGGGTGCCCCTCTAGCAGGGGAGAGCAGGGACTGCCTCGGGAAAGGGGGCCGCTAGCGAAGTTAACCACCCTGTAACAACATACATACAGATAGACCAACTCGGTACTTTGCTTAAGGCCTTGCTTAGCGGGTCTAATATACTGTGCATCGGCGTCCTATCAAGTAATTCAACAGCTTCAATACGAGCTCTCTAGAAGCTCGGCAGTGCAAGACATCAGCGCCGAACCACCTCTCCTCCATTCCCTGGCATCACTCAGATCTCTTGACACGACAATCAACAATAACGATAACTAACATCCAACCCCCTGATGCTCCTCATCGCGCGTCGCCACACACGCGCTCTTCAATCCACATCACGACGTTCATCACGATCCCTCCTCCCCCTCTGCCTTCCCCCTTCCCCTCCATTAAAATCTAAACACCGACCAACGGGCGGAAAGACGGAGGGCCGGGAGCTCCTCGCATACTCATCGCATAAGGGCGCGCTTACCACTTATCGCAGAGACTCCGCCACAGAAAATTCCTGCTGCTGCTGCTGCTGCTGCTATTCTTTGCCTTGCAGCGAAATTTACAGGGCGGGTCAGGAAAGTATGCTGTCCATGCCGCCAGCCCGCGAGCCGCGACCGAGCCGCGACATCGCCAGCAGCCTCAAGACTCCGAGCTCTGGACGGCGTGGCGCCACAGTCGGGGCCATGACGACGCCCGCAGATCTTTGATGCCTTTTGCTGCTACTCAAGTTTTCAAGCAACTAATCAAGCACTAAGCAAACCCCAAACCTACAACCTACAACTCAAGGCACTGTACCACCCTGTAACAACATCAACTCAAGCGATACCAACCACGATTCCGGAAAAAAGGCGAGGAATGGAAAACGAAAAAGCTCTAGATAGACCAGGCAGTCAGACAAGGAAAAAGGAAGAACCCTACACTGCTTTATGCTATAGATTATTGTAAAATATATATAGCGCATTCAAAGATGAGGCCAAGGATGATGATCTGTACCTGTGCGATGAGTGCGATAAGAGATCATCAAAACTCCCCAAGTTGCCCCGTACATGCTCACATGCCCCACACGAGCAAAGCACAAACCACATAAGCACACGCACCTACCACCTAACCAAATCGGCAGCTATCCTATTGTTGTACCCTGCCTTTGCCAATACGTAGCATGGCGATGACTCTGATGATGCTCTGACTGCGTATTCTCGCATGCTTCCTTCCTTCCAAAGAAACCACAGAAACATCATCATAAAAACGTCAACTCGCTCCTTAGTATGCTCGTATTGGCAAAAAGCTGCTGCCCGCGAATGAAACCACATGCCACATCACCTTCTTCAAAGTCGTGAAGAAACCGAGACCCAAAACCCCTTCCAAAACACAAATATGCACAAAAAAGAGGCCACAGGAGAGAGATAAGGAGAGAGATAAGATTCGCACGCGCGGGCGCATATAATACAAGTAAAAATACAAAAGGAGTATGGGATCTCTTCTCTCCTCAAAACACGATTTTCATCAGCAAAATATCTCCAGTCGCAGCTGTTGCAGCAGCAGCAGCAGCATAGCAACAGCAGCAGTAGTTTTCAGCTTTCCAGCATTCCACTAACGCTTCGCTTTTATAACCGGATAAACAAGACGACAGCACAGCTCTCCATTGGGACATTTTCCACGGAGAAGAAAAAGGAAAACAACACAACAGAAACTTCCTGATGCACAGCACAGAGCTGCACCCCCCCTCAAGAGTGAAAAAAGCCGAAGAACGCCAATGAGACGCATCCAAGACCGACAACACCTCAATGTGCATGTGTTCCCGAACCCGTGCATTCGTTCATGCCAACGGCCAAACCACCAAACGCACGGCCAGGAAAGTGCAAACATACACATACACATACATACATATGCGCTCAAAATATAACCCAAACAACCCCAACAAGCTCTTTTTGACTCGGAACTTCTCAAGTCGGAACAGAGTTCATGGCCCCGCCGCGGCCTCCCGCAGCCCCGACGGCGTCTCCTCGAATTCAAGGCTCTGCCAGTCCACACCCGTAAAGAAGGGATGTTGCATGGCGCCAGCCGAGTCCAGCCGCTTGTGCTGTCGTACACACACGTACGTACGTGGAAATAAATACGCGTACATACATGCGAACATGTTGCCGGGCAAAGAGGGGGAGGAGGGAGGGAGGTACGTCACACCCTCGTTCGGTACACCGAGGAAAACACGACGAGGAAAACACACGGTGCGTTGAGAAGAAGCTGCAACGCTTGCGCAAAAATTCCAATTGCTGAACTACACACACACATACACACACACATACACACACACGTACCTGTGGCACGAGCAGTCCCTCCAGCAGCAGGTTCCGGAGCTCCTCCGAGCAACCTTCCAACCGCGGTCCATCCGACACCTGCTGATCAGAAACCATTTCGAGCATCATCGCGCCCAGACCCCACATGTCGGCCTTGGTGCCGTACGACCCGCCGCCGTACGCCGCGGCGCGCACCTCGGGAGCCGCCGTGGCGATGCGACCCGCGGGTCCGTGTGCAAGGCCGTCCTCGTCCAGGAGCTCCGCCGCGTCAAAATCCGCCAGGAGGGGGTGTCCGGATGCGGAGCGGTAGATGTTGTGGGGAGAGACATCGCGGTGCACCATACCCAATTGGTGGATGTGGGTCAGCGCCGATAATACACGTGCCGCCAGCCAGCGTATTTCGTGCTCGTCAAAGTACGGCGCGCGGCCGCCGCCGGGGCCAGACCCCGCTGTACGGCGCTGTTCGATGAGGTCGTGTAGGGAGCCCAGCGGTGCAAACTCCGTGTAGACTGCGTAGGGTGCTTTGCCGGGGTGTGAGCTGCCGTACACGCGCAGTACGAAAGGGCAGGCGGCGGCGATTTCCATGGCCGCCACCTCGCGCGCGTGGCGGGCAGCGTTGTAGCGGCGGCAGACAATGGCCTTCTGTGCGAGCTGCAGCAAGCCGCCGTCAGGCAGGTCGAGCTCCATTAGGTGCACCTCCCCCACACCACCACGTCCTAGAGGTCGCACCTGCAATATAATAATAATAATAATAATGCAAGAACAGAATCGAAGAAAGAATGGGATTTGTATATGTGACGAGTGTGATTAAAAAATAATAGCATATGTACATATATGGGACAAGTGTGCTTATGTGTGAAAAAAAAGAACAACAAGTGGCGCGAGAACGGTAGCTAACTCAAAATATTGATGAGGGAAGCACGAAATGTAGTGAAAATGTGCAATGCAAATTCGTGTGGGGTGCGCGGCAGGAGGAGCAATTGGGCGAGCTATCCATGATCAGGACGGAGGAATCCTGGAAAATGCTGCCAGAGTCAGTAGATGCGCAAAGTACGCCGTAGATCTTATGACAAGTTATGGGTGGGCCCTTTCGGAATTACGAAGGACAGAGACGACGATGCCCAACACGAACCTTGCGAGCTGGCAGTGGTTGTCCAGGGCGCAATTTCCTGAAGAGTTTCCTCAAGAAAGAAGCGTGCTCGTCGGGTAAAGGCTGGCGCACGAGGCTGCATGCGCTGGCCGTTGGCGTTGGTGCCGGCAAGAAGTGGGGATGCAAATCAAAAGAGCTGGCAATTGACAAATCAGAAAAGTTCGAGTCGATGCTAGTTCTTGGCCCGCTCGAGATGAAGGACTCGACGGGTGAGCAGGCCAGACCCTCTGGGGGCGACAATCCCAGCAGACATGTGCTGCCAACGGACTGAGCAGCCTTCTGGCGAGGGCGGGCGACAATATGAATTGCCTCGCTACGACGCTCTCGACTTGACCGAAAAAAAGCCATCACCGCCTGTGGTTCACAGTCAAGGTTCAACTAGGACGTTACGGCGTATATAATCTAGGCGATATATCGTGTTAAACCAGTGAGACTTTTGCCCATAAGCAACATCTAGAAAGAATTCAGTGCACGCATCAAATGAGAGAACCATTCCATGGCTGCACTTTCGCAAGCTGACGTGGAAATCCGCAGGAAAATCAAAACAGTCGCGCTAAAGTTGATGAAGATGCGCATTCCCACAGTTCACTCTGCTAATGGCCATGGATTACCAGCTCCGGACATACGTCGCTGCGATTTTATCATGTAACTGTTGTGTCTCGGAGGATGCCCAAGGATTCGGCCGCTGCTTCCTGTGGCAGCCTTCAGCCGTCCTTGACAACAATACTTTGAACTAGTGCACAAGGTAGATGTTGAACATTAAAAAATTTCAAGCTCGGAGGGGAAGCCCTAGTCGCTGTTGGCTGTGTGCTTTCAGGTTTGAGTGGGCATGCATTACGCATTCCAGGGCCTTTGCAATACAGCATTTTGTTTCCTGATTGCGAAAGGTTACCTTTCATTTGGATTGAAACGGTTGGAAATTGCTTTCAGCAGGAGTGGATGGAAAGTCACTTTCAGCAGAACACAGCAAAGCTTTAAATGGAACCTTAGCAAGAACGTATATAACCATTCTTGAACTCGGGAACTAGAGACAGTGCGCCTAAGGGGCTTGGGGGTTCTAGGTGTTAAGCACTGCCCTGGTATGGTGTTCGACACCTTACGAGAAAACTTCGGCTTTTCTTTCCCGGCACGCAACCCAACCTCTCCTCATGTCATGAAGCATCCCCGAGTTTTCCCCATACAAGACTTTCGGGGAAATTGCTCCATTACCCCATTCTTGGAGGACAAGTCAAGGTAGGAGGTAAACCACGTTATCCAGTAAGCGCTTCCTGCCGTCCTCCGTGGATTTGGCCATCTGTGCATCCACAGGGTAACATGGGGCGGCGCGCACAACACACATACTGCGCACAACATGTGTTCCTCTCCTTCACGAGTGAACACGTCACGTCACCTATGCATCCATGCGCTCCAGCAGCGTCAAAGCAGCCCTTTGCTACGTTGCATGCATAAAGTTGCTAAAACCACCAATCATTTTAATGATGTATGCATGTGTGTGTATGTGTGTGTGTGTGTGTGTGTGTGTGTGTGTTAAAACGTCGATCCAGGCCTGACGCTGGCCAGGGGCACATAACCGTACCCCAACGGGAACGATGAACGAAGCACTCTCCCCTAGGGGGAGGAGAGGGTCGTGCGGGGCTACTGTATCCCCCTGCTCGACTGAGGGCGCGCGACCCTGTGTCTCTACCTCATGTAATAGATGTATGTGTATGTGCGTGTACATGTTTTTCTGGTGCACCTCCCACAATCAACTCTGTGTTCAAAGCGCAGTAAATGCGGCTTTTTCTATTTGGTGCCACGTGTTGGCGCCTGGTTGCAGCTTCTTGACTGGCGTTGAACAGTCGTCACCACCCTGCCAAAATTAAACTTGCGGACGCCCGGCAGTGGAGTGATGCAGGGACTGGTAAGTGCCTGAGTTGTGTTGCTTTGCTTAATGCTGCGGATAATTTATTGCCTGGGAGGTTGGCAAACCATTGCCCTAAGCTTGTACCCTAACCCCGAGTCCGCGGTTTTCTCTTCCTTACCGCTGTGACCCTTATGATATCTGGCTGCCGCCAGCAGTGTAAGCAAGTTGGTTACGTATCCACTTGAGTTCCACAAGTGGAGAGGTGTTTCACGTCCGGTTGCTTGTGTTCTGCTGTTCACGGTCCAGCTCAAGCCCGCTCAAGGCAATTGCAATGCATTCTATCACGACGCAATACAGATCTATGCTGTCGTTCAGGTATCAGTAGCGCAGCAACCACGGTAAATTTGTTAGCTTATTCCGTTTGCCATTGGAACTGAACTTCATGGCACGCTGCGAAAGCAATAACACCTTGCATATTACATAGCGTGTTGCTAGAGAATTTCATTTCTGTATCAATAACAGTGGCGAACCTAAATTGTACTGTTACGACAAACCCACGTACACATACGGCACACGTCAATCGCTGCGAAGCTGAAAATTCGGAAGCATTTCAAATCAATTGGTGGTGTAACTATTTAGTATTCGGAGTAGTTTCTCTTACTCGTGCACCGCCGATCGCGGCGGCGGTTCTCTCGGTACGCTTGTAGCTGTCTTGCAGTCCCACGAGGCTATCGCGAGAAGTGTATAGGATGTACACAATCCAAGCCCCACCGGGGCATCCAGGCCAGCCGGCCGTGCTTATTGCCTGCGCCTTCCTTGACAAGCCTTTGACGATGGACGCGCCGGACCCCGACTTGCAAGTGAGATTTTTTCTAGGCACCTTCCAATACGTATGTCCAATCAGCTCCACGGCGGCTCCGGCGATCGGCTGTTCTTGCGGGAATAATCGTGCCATCGTGGTGTCCCCAGGCACCCATCCTCAAGGCGGAGGACCACACCGCGCATGGTACAGCCGACATCTTGCGCTACGGTGGGTAAACTTGCCTAGAATAAAATTTCATACGGTATCGACCAATTTCATACGGTATCGGCCGTCCCCGGGGTCTCTGGGATTCGGTCTTCGGTGCTTCTTGGAGACGCCATTTTGCTGGCCAGCATCTGATCATCATCGCCTCTTGTCAGCCCCAATTTTTAACCTGAGGAAAAGTGCAACTCGTGCTGTAAGTAATCGAGCATACTACTTTAAACCACACCTTTCCTCCATCCTGCAGATACTCCATCCTATATTTACACCTTTATCTGCACCCCGCATGTGCTGCTGCTACCCCAGAAAAAATTGAGGATCATAAAATGTCTGAGAAATATGTGCAGGTCATGTCAGGACGTTAAGCCGCCGGGTCCCTCCGCACCCCAGCCCTCAACCCGCGACGCTGCCAAGTACAGCACACCTCCTTGCGCAAACGCATCTGAACGCCCCTCCTCATATTTGAACCAAAATCTGTTTGGGACTTTCACAGCCTTTTCCAAACTTGCACCTTGTGCACCGCACACGTGTTACCCCGGTCTTCAAAACACCGGCTCCCCCTGCCCTCCACGCACACTCAACGCTGGACGACGGAGGTCACATCGGTACAGTTTTATTCGTGCTTCTGCTTCTGCTTGTTCCCGTATCTCAGCTTAGATTAATCTAAAAACACACACATACTCACATACACACACCGCTCCGCTAAAAAAACACACGCTTTCCCCCACACCCCGCAGTGGCCTCTCACGGCGGAGCCCTCCCCAGCACCAAGCTCTACCCGCTTGAGCTCCAGGTGAGTCCAGAGAGGGAGGCGAAGCCAAGGAGAGCGACTGGCAGATGACTTCAAACAATAAAAAAATAATAATGACGACGACAATGATGATGAAATTAGCAGTAGTAGCTTTTGGGGTTTTTCGGTGGGTTTTTCGGAAATTGGGTTTTGTGGATTCGGGAGATCTGGTTCCGGAGATATGAGTCGTTTTGGGGTTACTTCCAAGTATTATCATTATCACCCATCTTGCCAGTGGGAAGTGTTTGGCTGTAACCCACATCGCGCGACGTCCGAGCTCCAGTAAGCAGCATCCCCATTCTCTCCGTCCCGCTCTGCCACCCCGGCTCGTTGTTTATGACGGCTTAACGACTTGCTGAGAATGTCTCTCTCCTGAGGACGTCATCATGGTCTTCATGGTGGTGGTGATCTCCGCCTCCTCACCCCTCTATCTCTGGTATCTGCTTCATTCGCCAGTACCCGTTCGTCTTACCCCCCCACCACCCTTACTCCCACCAGTCTTACCCTCACCACCCTTACCCCCACCAACCCCACCACCCCGGCCCCGCAGGGCTCCATCGACAAGTGGTTGCAGCTAGCTGCCAGCTGTGAGGCCGCGGCGCTGGCCTGGGTGGAGCCGTTCGCAGCCAAGGCGGATGACGCGGTGGGCCAGGGAACAGGGGCCAGGGAACAGGGGCCAGGGAACAGGGGCCAGGGGGGCGAGGCCGGTTCGGGTCGGGTCGGGGCGGAGGAGAGGTGCTCCTGGATAAAAGGAAAAGATATTACATGTCCAAAAATAGTTGTATATTACGCATCCTCGTTGTCGTAAGACACCTGTTGGGGATAAACTGTCGACCCCTAGTTTCTTGGGAGTCCGCTTCTTCCCTCCTCCCCACCTGCCCCTCCACCTGCCCCTCTAACTGCCCCTCAGGCCCGTGAAGCCGCCAAGTCCGATGTGACCACCGCCCTGGAGCAGCTGAAGGTGGACCTCATGGCGGGGAATGAGTTCCTGGTGGGTGGGGTGGGGTGGGGGGTTTGGAGGAGGATGGGAAAGGGGTGTGTGGCTTTGTTGTGTGTTTGTGGTTCCACCGACCCAGGCGGGTGACCTCTTAACTCGGATTAAGGTAATCAGGACAGCGCGGGTAAGGGGGGTAGTCCCTCTTGACGGTTGGCTAGGCCGGATGCCGGATGCTGGGTTAGGGTCCCCCGGAAAGCGCGGCCGGCCTCCGATTGTATAGCCGGTATAGCTACACACCGGTGGGTGCCTCTCCGCCTAGAGTACCTCCTTAAGAGTCGCCAACCTGAGATCCTCCGTTTTTGTCCGCTTCCACACACACATACATACACACACGCGCGCGCGGCGGCGGCGGCGGCGGTGGCGGCGGCGGCGGCGCGGCCTGCCCTCGTGTGCAGTTGGGCGACTCCCTGACCCTGGCTGACGTGGCGGTGGCGGCCGCGCTGACGCCGCTGTTCCAGTCGGTGCTGGGCCGGCAGCTGCAGCGGCACTTTGCCCCCGTGGTGGACTGGCTGGGCCGCTGCCAGAAGCTGCCGCAGTTCGAGAAGGCGCTAGGTGCGGAATAGGGGGGGCACCCCCCCGCGGATGCGGGGAGGCGGGGGGTCTTGCTCAGCGCTAGGAGGTGAATTGGCGGGTGGTGGTGTTGTGTGGTGCGTGTGGGAGGGGGGAAGGGGGGAAGGGAGGGGAAAGACGAACCGCACGCGATTGAAGCTGCTGCCAGAGCAAGATAGTAGCAACCGAAAGAACTGACCGAAAGGCGTCCGTGGCGACTATGACGAAAAAAAGGCTGAATAGTATAGCCAAACCGTAAACTAGTAGGTGTAGAAAAGTAGTGAAGGGGGCGATAAAAATACGGTAGCGGAACTAAAGATTTTACAAATTAAATAATTATTTGCATGCGGTAAAATGTTTTGGCAAAATTCAGAGTCTTTCTGTAAAATCTTTAGTTCCCGGGAGGGAATTCGGAGCGATGCCGTAAAATACATATGGCCCTTCACGCACAACAGGCTTTTGGCACTACCTCTTATACTATTTTATACAGAATATTGTAACATATCACTATATCAACCTATTTCTGGCAGCAGCATGGGCAAGCGCAAGCTCACCAAACACCGCTTCATTGACAAGCTGCCGGCCATACCATACCATGTACGGCAATGCTCTCGCGTCCTTCATCAATCATAAGAATTCTGCGGCTGCTACAGAATGGTGGATGTTTGGAGGCCGTGTCACGGTGGCTTGGCTTCCAGATGGGGGTTTACAATTCGGAGATTCTTAGTTTGAGACGTGTCGTGATGATTCTCATAGCCCCTTATGCGTGAGAGGGAGGCGGGCAGTGGTGTTGCATGGTTGGGTAGCTCTGCGGGCCGGTAAAATCCCAGGAAATCATCCAGAGTACCGTAAAATCTTGGCAAAATCCGCCAGCATGCGGTAAAATACTTCGTTCCGTAAAATATATTAAAATCCATAATTTTGCGGTAAAATCTTTATTTTGTAAAATCTTTAGTTCCGCTACGGTAGTGCTGACGTAAAAGTGGCGTAAAGTTGCTGGCCAGGAGAGAAAGCTGCATTGCTGATACTGAAAGGCTGCCGGTATGCAAGTGCTCCTCCCAACCCCCCAAAAAAACTAGAACGCGCGACTGACCCGACCGACCCAATTAAACTATTCCGGCTAGCCTACCGACGCCAACGCGAAATACCAAAGAAGCTCGAACCACCTTTTGGACTCACCTGGCCAGGCCGCCGAAGTAGTGGCAAAAGGCACATGCAAAAACAAAAGGGTAACAAAGAGGTGAGGCGGGTGCGATAAAGGACAAGGGGACATGCAAATGCTGCTGAGGAATAGTAGTAGCTGGCTGGCTGATTTGAAATTTTGACTGAAAAGGGAAATGAAAGGAAAAGGAAACGCTTAAGGAAGGAGAAAACAAAGCGAAGTGTCGTACCGGATGAGAGAATGATGACGCAATGAACAAAAATAAAAAACAAAGAAACAACAAAAAAAGAAACAAAAAAAGAAACAAAAAACAAAGAACAGTGCGTGGGTCGGGGCCACATATGGCTCCCGCCAAACCGTGCGCACCAGGAGCATTTGCATGCAGCTCCGTGGTGCCTAGAAAAGAAAAGAGTAAACGTAAGAGGGGCAGGGAAAGAAGAAGTACAAAAAACTAAGGGCAGGGTAGAGGGGAAGGAGAATAAGGAAATTTTGACTGAAAAGGGAAATGAAAGGAAAAGGAAACGCTTAAGGAAGGAGAAAACAAAGCGAAGTGTCGTACCGGATGAGAGAATGATGACGCAATGAACAAAAATAAAAAACAAAGAAACAACAAAAAAAGAAACAAAAAAAGAAACAAAAAACAAAGAACAGTGCGTGGGTCGGGGCCACATATGGCTCCCGCCAAACCGTGCGCACCAGGAGCATTTGCATGCAGCTCCGTGGTGCCTAGAAAAGAAAAGAGTAAACGTAAGAGGGGCAGGGAAAGAAGAAGTACAAAAAACTAAGGGCAGGGTAGAGGGGAAGGAGAATAAGGAAGTAGGGTATGAAGCAGGTGAAAGGAAAAGGAAACGCTTAAGGAAGGAGAAAACAAAGCGAAGTGTCGTACCGGATGAGGGAATGATGACGCAATGAACAAAAATAAAAAACAAAGAAACAACAAAAAAAGAAACAAAAAAAGAAACAAAAAACAAAGAACAGTGCGTGGGTCGGGGCCACATATGGCTCCCGCCAAACCGTGCGCACCAGGAGCATTTGCATGCAGCTCCGTGGTGCCTAGAAAAGAAAAGAGTAAACGTAAGAGGGGCAGGGAAAGAAGCAGTACAAAAAACTAAGGGCAGGGTAGAGGGGAAGGAGAATAAGGAAGTAGGGTATGAAGCAGGTGAAAGGAAGGAAACGATAGGAAGGAGACGCCATTAGCGGAGGTGAAAACAAAGCATGAGTTGTGCCAGGAACAAAAATGTAAAACACATGAACACAAAAAAAAACCGAGAAAACCAAACAACAAAAAGAAACAAAAGGAGAAACAAAAAAGACGCATAATTGTGAGCGTCCGTGATATTACGCTGTAGTCTACGGAATTGGCTGATGAAAATATTTCGTTTTGCTGCTTCATTAACGGACGAGGAAGAATGCACAAAGCGCGAAAGGCGAATATCTGAAAAAGCTGATTGCTGTAGCTTATCATAAAGATGTGTATCATACCAACTACAGCCGTTACGAACGGAATGGACTAAAAGGATATCTAAGAATGGTGTTTTATTAAGGGGGTGTTGCTGAACTGGAATTTCAAGCTGATGGGGGTAAATACCTCGCAAGGAGTTGGTTCCCACTGACTCGGATAGGTAAAAAAGGAGGGAAGAAAGATGTGGGTTTCCCAGGGAGAGGAGGTCATCGAGGTACCGTTTAGTGAACTGAAAAGATTTAAGTATAATTTTATTAAGGGAAGAGGTAGTAGAGGAGTAAAATTGCTGTAAGAATCTATATTCGTGCCAAGCGAGGAACAGATTCGCAATATAAGGGGCCGGGGATATCCCCATGGGAATACCGCAGATTTGTTGCACGAGGTGCGGGCCAAAGCGAATGAAAGTAGCAGAGAAAAGCGCAGTAAGGAGGGTAACCAGGTCGTGGACCGAGAAGTACACGGTCTGGGAACCATCGGCGTATGAAGAGTAACGGTGTGCAGGGGTAGGACCTTCACAATATTCGGCGGTGAAGGAAGGGAGGGCGGCACCAGGTTTGGGGAAATCTGGTAAACGGGCTGGGAGGGGAGGTTTAGCAGCCCCGATAGTGCCATGGACGAACGTTGCACAACGCTCGTCTGGAGAGGGGCGTTTTTCATCACTCAGGTGCATAATTTTTGGTTGGTTTCGGAGCAGCGGGGTGTGCAGTGAAGA